TCAGGAACTTTTTTTTTTATCCTCTCGGTTTGATTAAGAAGTTTAAAATTACAAGCATGAAAAGTACAAACTTTCAAGTCAGCCTTTCACTACACCCGTGCTTCCGTTTCTCTGACATTGGCTGTAAGGCGGAGGGGGGCACAATTTACATTTGTGAATGGAGGTTGTATTCTGCTTCTATTCTGGGAATATGTTTCAGCTGGAGGGGGAGATTTGTGTGTATCTGTCTTACACATTGATCCTAGCCACCACCAACGGGTTCAAGTTTAGAACACCCTAATATTTGGGAGTATTTGGTTCCGGGGCTTTGGTTTGCATATGCACTAATTTATAGCGGAAGCAAGCTAGTCCACAATAAAAGTGAAGTCGAAATCTGGTCCCATTTCAATCAATAATTGAACTTCCATTGAGGCTGATATTTTGCCTCTATATACTGCCATTCCTTGCAGGATCTCTAAGCACTGTATGAAGATGAAATATTTGTATCCCCTTATTGCAGTGGTGCAAATTGAAATATGGCGAGGGGAAATGATTTGCCCTGATCTGCACAACGGAGACATATCTGTCAGACCTAATCAAACTGTCATTTCTTTTTCTTTCTGCAGCCTTTCTGAGGTTAAGATATAGCTCCTCTTCTGCTCAGCTCTCCCGTCAGACACACTCGAAGAACAGTGGTTGCCTGACTTGAAACTGTTTCCTGCAATGGACAGGGAAGATACTCCAAGCCGGTTCTCCTGATACTCTGATTTCTATGAAAACATATAGACACTTGCCATTAAAAAAAATCTCTGTGGTTTTCTACCAACTGTGCAAACACAGTGATAAATCTCTGTTGTTTCCAAGTTGACTTAGTGCTATAACCATGGAGAAAAAGAGAAGATATTTATTTTGTTTATTTTTTAGATCTCTGTAATAGCTTCTTAGCAATATCACAGCAATATGTACTGTTTGCTTTCTAGGAATCTGCACTCATTAAAATTACAATGAATCAAAGGAAATATTTGCTTCTTTGTGTTACACATTGTTATCAAGACCTGAACTGGGGTAGACTTGGGAGAGAGAAGTTAGCAGTTTGATTTCTCTCTGATTTTTCAGCTATCATATTTCAGCTCTTTGGAATGTTTCCCTCCACATCTTTTCGGTGACTCTATTTTATGACCCATTATATATTCATGCCAAGAATCCACTCAAGTAATAGTTAAGTATAGAAAAATCTTTACTGGATTTGGTTGAGCAAAGATGCTGTACGTGCCTACTTTTTTTTTAATGTTTAATTTGGGGCTTGGACCTTGATTCATTTAAACCAGGGCTGAGATTTTGGGATGGAGATGAAGCTGGGCTTGGGAGCTTTTAGATTCAAGACTGAGGATGCGTCTACACTGCAGTGTTTTTCCGGAAAAACAATACTTACATCCACACTGACATTGAGTTCTTTCAACAGAAAGTCAAAAGAATAGAGGGTTTTTTCCGACAGCAGTCAACCTCATTCGACGAGGAAGAAGCCTTTTTCCGAAAAAGCTTTTTCGGAAAAAAGGCGAGTGTGGATGCAGAAGAGGGAGTTCTTTCAAAAGAAGAGGTCTCCAGAAAATATCACACTCTGTCCAGCCTAATCACAACTTAAATGCAAGATAGCGTCCAATCAATGTGGACTCTCTCTTTCGAAAAAGCACGTCACTTTTTTGTTGTATTTTTCCTGTGTAGACGCTCTCTTTTGAAATAAGCTTTTCCGGAAGATCTCTTCCGGAAAAGCTTCTTCCAAAAGAAGCCTGCTGTCTAGACGTAGCCGGAAGGATGGTCACGGTTTCGGTTTGCATTCAAAGGTGTTGAAATCTCATCGTTTGTTCTTGGCAGGTTTTTGATCCCAAATCAGAGACCTGTATCAGTGAAAGGCACCGCATGGGGTCACCTAGTTCATCTCATTGTGCTGAGGCAGGATTCATACATATCTAGACCATCCTGGACAGATGTTTGTTCTTTAACAAAGAGGTCACGGGCTCCCTAGATCAGTCGAGCCAGATGAGCGGTTCTCATGAGACTCCCACTAGCTGGCGTGAGACTGACTCGCAGGTGCTGGAATTACAGCTACTGGGAAGGCGCTGCCAACCCACCATAGACAGTTCACTTACATGACTCTCAGCACCTCCGCTGTACACAGTTTTGTGCCCCCCCCCCCTCCTCTGGACTGATTGTTTCTGCATCCGAGCTGGGAGCGGAGAAAAACTTCTCAGTTTTGAGCTTGTTCCAGGACCCTCGGGTTGGGGCTGGGTTCGGAATCCAGGTTTTCCAAAAGGTTAGTAGTAAAGGTTCTGGTTGGGGCTCCGACCGAGCCCAAACACCAACCCAGCCATTACGTTCTCATCCCATGGGAAGGGGGGCGGCTCCTTTGGCTTTTCCCCATGTGTGTTTCCATGGCCTGAACTCACAGCGTTGTACAGCAAGCAATCAACACATACGTCTCAACGTAGATAGGTAGATAGAGCTGCCCCATCCATAGGACAGTGTGGGGCGGCCACCCCAGGTGCTGCACTTGTGGGGGTCCCCGTTAGGGTTGCCAGGTGTCCAGTTTTCACCCGGACAGTCCGGTAATTGCATCTTCTGTCCGGTAAAGAAAACCAGAAAATACTGGACATGTAAAATGTCCGGTATTTTCTGTTTCTCTCAGACGGAAGGCTGGTGGGACATTTCCCCCTGCTGCATCTGGTGGAGGTAGGGAGAGCAGGGAGCGTGGGAATTTAAAGGCGCAGCAACTTTTTTTTTTCTCAACAAGTTTGGTTCCTTCTCCCCCCCTCCCCCTGCTTTTTTTTTTTTTTTTTGCTCAACCAAATTTTTTCCCTGCCATGTTTGGGATGTTTTGTCTGGCAACCTTAGTCCCAGTGGCAGCTGCCCCACAGGATTACTTGGGGCTGGGAGCCTGGTGTGCTGGCGGCAGGGGTCACCCCACCCCTGCGCTTACTGCGGTGGCAGGAGCCCGAGTTGACTAGTGGCCTTCTCCCAGCTGTGGGCAGGAGGCTTCTTCCAGGTGGGGAGCAGAGCACTCCAGCCCCAGGGCGCTGCTCTTGCCACTGCCGTGGAGAAGCGGGGTGCAGCGGGCCGGGAGGGCGGCACAGGGTGAAGTGGGGCAGGCTGCCAGGCCACTCCAGCTCCTGCTGCCTGATGAGTGGAGAAGGCAACCCTGCTGCCACCGCGCCAGGTCCCCTGTAATTTTCTAGGCCTCATTGCTTGTGGGAGGAGGCGGGGTTGGGGAAGAGGTGGGGCCTGTTGGGGGCTGCTCCCCAACCCTGCCTGTAGGGCACTGAGGGAGGGTCTACACCGCAAAGCTATTTCGGGAAAAC